TGCTGGATCTGACCTACATTTTCCATATGAGTGACCAGGTTTAAGTTTTAGGAGCAGATGTCATTTCCAAGTAACTATAAACCCTATATTGACCAAACTTGCACGGATGATACATCTAAGGATTGACACTACTGGACTTGCTTCAGATGCTGGATCTGACCTACATTTTCCGGATGAGTAACCAGGTTAAAGTTTCTGGAGCAGATCTCATATCTAAGTAACTATAAGCCCTATATTGACTAAACTTGCATGGATGATACGTCTAAGGATGCACACTACTGGACTTCCTTCGGATGCTGGATCTGACCTACATTTTCCATATGAGTGACCAGGTTTAAGTTTTAGGAGCAGATGTCATTTCCAAGTAACTATAAACCCTATATTGACCAAACTTGCACGGATGATACATCTAAGGATTGACACTACTGGACTTGCTTCAGATGCTGGATCTGACCTACATTTTCCAGATGAGTAACCAGGTTAAAGTTTTTGGAGCAGATCTCATTTCCAAGTAACTATAAGCCCTATCTGAACCAAAATTGCATGGATGATGCATCTAAGGATGCACACTACTGGACTTGCTTCAGATGCTGGATCTGACCTTCATTTTCTGAATGAGTAACCAGGTTAAAAGTTTTGGAGCAGATCTCATTTCTAAGTAACTATAAGGCCTATCTGAACCAAACTTGCATGGATGATGCATCAAGGGACGAACAATCTCAAACTTGCTTCAGATGCTGGATTCGACTTACATTTTCTGGATGAGTGACTAGTTTTAAGTTTTCGGATAAGTCTATTCTCAAGTACCTGCAAGCCCTTTCAGACCAAAATGCATAAATGTTGCATCTAGGGATGCACACTCCAAGGTTATTAGTTTAGTGTGGGACTTTGCCTTACTTAAGACAACATTCATTGAGGTGAGCTCTGTAATCTCTGATTACCTATGTTTTTTATTATTATTTACTAGATAGGACCTTTTTGGGCATAGGAATGCATAAGAAACCAGGAAAAGCAAGGTCATTATTAGTCATATTTATAAGAAAGCATCCTCAGGTAAAAGAGAGTCAAGTTTGTTCATATCATGACCCCACAATGGGGTGGGATGGGGCCACAATATGCAATCAAAGTTTTACAGAAGAATGCAAAGGAAAATCTTACTGTACAGTAGATTCCTAAATATTCGCGAGGAATAAATTGTCGCGTTATTACGCGAGAAGCACCATTCGCAAAATAAAATTACTCGCTTTTATTTTTATGGTGCTTTAATGTATGTAAAATCTCTAGATAAATCACCGATTCGCGAATTATTGTTCCCGCGATTTGACGCTCTTGGGCCATTTCGTGATATTAAGTACTCGCGTAAAATAAGGAATTTACAGTATTTCCAGGAAAAGGAAAGTCATGATTAGTCTTATTTATAGGAGAGCATTCCTCATGTAGTGTAGATTCAATTTTATTCAAAGCATGACCACTTGAGGGTATGGTAGGGCCACAATAGGCAATCAAAGTTTGCATAGGAAAACCTATGAAAAATCTCAAGAACAGCAAAACCATGATAAATCATATTTTTATGGAAGTATTTTCCGGTATTGTAAATTCAAGTTTGTTAAATTCAGGACCCCTCTGAGGGTAGAGTGTGACCACAATGGGCAATCAACGTTTTACATTGGAACACATAAAAAAATCTTGAAAAGTCTTCTAAAGAATGTCAAAGTCATGATAAATCAATTTATATATAAATGGAAGCATCCTCAGCTAGTGTAGATTCCAATTTGTTAACATCCTGACCCCAGGGGTTAGGTTGGGGCTACAATGGGCAATCAAAGTATTACATACAAATATGTAGGAAAAGGAATATGCTGATGAAGAGCAAAAATGGCCATAGTTACTAGAATATTGTGGCCCATGGGCCTCTTGTGATACATTTTTAATTCTGAAGTTTTATTGAGAGCTGCAAGTAAAGTTTAACTGTTCAAATGCTAACTGTTGCAGATCATATCAAAGGAAATTCTAAATACATATCCTTTTACCTGGATAACGATTTTTTTGCTTTGATTTATACTTTTACCAGGAAAAATCCAGATTCCAAAAATATAATTAGTCATGAAGCAGTGATTAACAAGATTAATGAGCATGAGGAAGAAGAGGTAAATGTTCAATGTTTTTTATATTGATGCAACACATTTTATTACATTTTCAGCAGTGAAATACTGTAATTTATTGAATAAAAGTGATATTCTGACACAGTGTGAAAGGGTATCAAAATCGTACTCTCACAGTGTGAGAATATCAGAAGTGCGGCAAAACTCGAGATTTTTCTTCCCTTCACAAAGAGTGTTTTTTAAAAAAAAAACTCCCTTGCCTGTCATAAGATAGAGAAAGAAAATGAAACATCCTAACAGAGACTAAAACTGCCAAAGTTTCTCCAAATATGTTAATAAAAATCCATGTTTACAACGTTTTTCAATCTCGCAATCGCTTAGCTATGATGTCTCAACTGCTTACTATGACGTCACAGCCTATGACACTGTTTTACCAAAAGACCAAGGCATAGGGAAAATCAAATAAAATGTAATAAACAGAAAATTCAATGTTTTGTAAATGAATACGGAATTTATTTCACTTGTGAGACAGGATTTATTGATATTTTCACTAGTGCTTCGCACTCGTGAAACTATCAAAAACCCTGTCCCACTCTTGAAATAAATTCCATATTCATCTACAAAACATTGAATATCCTCTATATATTATTATGATTCCATAGATAATTGAAGTACGTGGGCTGTTCGGAAATTATTGAGACATTGTGTATATTTTTCTTTCTTAAGAACATCTTTCGGTGAAAATTTGCATATATGATTGACAAACACTAAGAATTAATAAAAGCAAGAAACATATCACAAATATATTATTTCTTCTTTTCAATGGTTTATTAATATGTCAATGGTAGGGGTACCCGGCGCAGTCACGAAATCAGGTATTGGAAATATGTAACGCCAACGTTCAAACTCCCAGTGGACCCATAGTAAGAGTGAAAATAGTTCGATTTATGTATATAATTTTTCAATTTTGTTTTGACTTCATTTTGTTCAAGTTTGTTAGAATTTCGATCAAAAGTACGGACATCATTAAAAAAATTAAGCGTGGTAAAGAAATCTGATTGCGACAACAAAATGGATTTTGACGTCAAGGTGGCGCAGCGAGCATACGTATAATTTTGTGTAGCACTATGGAGTATTTTCCAGACTGAACGACCTGTTTAAACAATAACAATGAGAAAAACAAGGGTTTTTTTTTTTTTTATTATTATTATTATCTATTTTTTTTCTTACCAGTAATTCAACCAAAGTAAAAACAAAAGCTCCAGACGACCATTAATTATTATGAGTAAATAACATTGACCCGCGCTGCATAAATCGGTACTGCATGATGCTAAGTCAACCTCTGTATGACACAAGTATATTTTATACTGGGGGAGTAACAGCACACATTTAAAATATTTCTTTTTAAGAATCTTTCAAGAAAAGAGACTTTAGATTTTTAGAATGCTATATGTGACAACAAAGAAAAAAGAGTTTATGCTTCCCAATCGTTTCACATGCAAAAACATCTCCGGCTGACTTGATGTTAAATGACATAGCGATGCTGCTCCAGGCCGATAGACATATGCATGTTTATAATTTCATCAGAACTTAATTAATAATTCTATAACTTAGAAATTTTGCAAATTTGTTTCATTCATTGATTTCTTTATAAAATAAAAAAAATTAATTAATTCATTCAGTCTCTTAGTTTTGTCATATTAATATTTTAATTGTAAGGTTCTTACCACAGGCATTTGGATTGCTTTTATTTGACTGGCAAAATTGGGGGTAAAAAAAATAAACTTCAGCTATGGAACTCCTCACATAGGGTACCCAATTTGGCCATCAAACAATGTTTTAAACTTGCACATTCTTGCACATTCTATTCGTATCTCTTCACATATATACGCAAACTACATTACTGACCAAAGTTCATTCTGAAATTCTATATACATGTACTTCTTAAGTAAGATTTCAAATTGACTTTTTTCTTTTACTCGTAACTAGCTTCAGCCTCTGGTCATTTACACTTTTCCTTATTAGCACTCAGTCACCACAAAACTTGTAATGATCTGAATTGATTACGTGTATGTGGTCTTACCAAAGTACCACCAACATTTTTAGCATTTTTAATTTCAAACCCTAAATATTTAATAATTTCCATTAAATTTTTGTTCACTTATGGCTTTGTTTACATTAATAAACAACATGGTTGTACAGCTGTTGTAGCAGACATTTTATATTGTTTTTACTCAAAAGGAATTATGGGAGACATAAACTTATGAATTGGAGTAAAAAAAAATAATGAAATAAATTAGAGATGTTGATAGATTATTCAAATACATGCACTACCCACTGCAGATCAAACACCGTCTGTATACATGTACATTGGAGTGATTATGAGCCAAAGCTAATTTTGAGTTGATTGAAATTATAGGCCACTTCTGGAATTGATTTCATGATATCTCAGAAAGTATATGGAATTTGGAATGAACTTTGGTACTAATCATGCTAATGCACAATGTTTATTTGTGAATAGATATGAATTGAAGGTACACTGTACTGTAAATCACTCTTTATTCGCTAGAACTTTATGTTCGTGTAATTACGCGAGACGATTTGCTCATGAAATTTTCATTCTCTTATATATTTTTATTTGTATAGGTTATATACAACAATACCCAGAATTCATGAAAATTTTGTCTCGCTTATAAATACCAAATACACATCTCGCGAAAATAAGGTATCATGAAAATTTGGTAATCTACAGTACAATTTTAAATCATTTGATTTAATATTAGTATATATCTCTGTTTCAGTGGGGAGATTGGTATCTTACATGAGGATACCTGTATTCTTTTTAACCTCCCTCCCCATTTTGTCGGTCAGAAAATCAAATAAATAAGTCGAGTCCAAATGCCTGTGGTTTTTGCTGTGATTCTTATCTATGATTTTAGAACAATGATAGACAAGTTTTCTGTTCTACTGGTCAGAGACCAGAAGAGCTTTTACACGAAAAAGGTATCTCTCCCCTGTCCTTCTGTCTAGAAATTGTACAGAAAATTTGAGAAAATATTAACTTCAAATCTGTGTCCATGCAAGCACCTTTAAGAAGTTTTCCATCTGTCACTTCCTGGTCACAACACCAAATGTAAACATGGTAAAGGTAAAGGATAAAAATGCAACAGACCAGAATGGGATTCAAAACTGGGCCCATGAATCTCCAGTCAAGTGCTTTACAAACTGAGATATCAGGCCACCTTTGATCATATCTGTCTTACCGCCACAAAAAACAATCAATGTTGTCTTGTGTTAGTATAAATAAAAAATTCTGTGAAATTCTTTCAAAACATTACTCTTCGTGGCATACGGTTCCTTTCAGATACTGTATCAATAAGACTTGGTAGACGTCAACAAGAATATCCCAAGATAATTTTTTTTATTATAAGTACATACCAGTGAGCTACAGTCTTGTCAGAGACTACTGCTTTTCAATATGGCTCATCATACTACTGGTACATTGTAATGCAAGAACGTACAGTTGTTTATATTTTTTTTTGTTTTTGCTTATTTAGTTCATTTATCATGTATATTTTAAGTTTAAACTCTGTTATAGTGCCTGAAAATTCCCTTGGATACTGATGAGGATATTAAAAATCTTCTTGAACAAGGCAGTGATGGCACATATTTTGATGAATCACAAGAGGATGTAGCAAAAGGCAAGTCTTTTTTTATTTCAGGTTCTAGTATTGTTTAGCAAAATTAATCTTCAGCAGTAGTCTGGAAGGTGAAGCATCCAGCTCATTGGTTTCTTGGTTCAGTGAACCAGACTTGACTGTATTTATTAATCTTTGATATTTGTAGATGTAGAGTACCCACCAGACACAATCTAACAGAAAGCATTCCCAACCGAACCCCGGGTTGGCTTTTGGTGTTCGCTTTCGGTGTTTGCTTTGGGTCTGCTACGGCTGACCCTGAGCGAATCCAGAGCACACCCAAAGCAAACCTGCAGGGGACCCAGAGCAAATGCCAATAGTGAACCCGTATTTCAGAAGCGCACATGAAAAGCGCACCCGGCGTTCAGTTTCAGAGCTGACAATCAAGTTAACGCGTTGACCAATCCACGCATCGACCAATTAGTATGCCGAAGTCCTGAAGTAAATAATAACATTTGTATATGTACAGTTGAAAGTGTATAAGCATTGCATGTTTATATACAATACATGTATGTGTAGATTTACTTTTATTTATGCAATTGATTTTTTTAAATTATATAACTTTCCAGGTTACATTAATAATTAAATAATTAGAAATTTCAAATTATTTATTACTATGAATTATTTCTTTTAAATTAAAATATTTAAATAAAAAAATGCTTTGCATAAATTTTTCAGACAGGTTGTACAAAAAAGATAAAGACAATTGTGACTAACACAGAAGATATCACTATCAAACTCTAGGGAATATTATTAAGAGTATAATTGGGAATAATATTAAGAAACAAAGCATGTCTTGACCAAAGTTGATGCATAAGTATTGAATGCATATACATACATGTATACACTGTACATGCATTTCCTTTACTGGAAAAAATCTTCGAATCTAAAATTGAACTGTACAAATAATCATACCGGTATGTCATTATTTAGTATTCCCTTAATTTTTTAATGCAACTTATAGATTGATTGAAAAAAATAAAGAAATTTGAAAAGGTATTATTTTTTTGTAAATGCACATGATTTTTGTTTTCTTTTTTTAAAATCCATAGCAATTTAGTTAAATGCGTACGTTTACCACTACTCAACTTATAAATCTTTTTTCCTGTAAATCACTGTCCGCTATTTTTTTCTAACAATCACTGTTCATGCAGTTATCAAAATATTTATGAAAACAAAAACACAAACAAAAAAATTGTACTCTTCCCAAAATTATTCTAGATCTGTGAACATAATGGGTAGAAAAATATAGTGTGATATTCTGTTCTTTTTATTAATGTTCTCCTATTGTCGTTTTCTTGATCATATACATGCTTCCAATCAACACAAAATAACTATGAAACATTTCAGGCAACCCAGAGTGGACCCTGAGTGAATGCACAGGGAACCTGGAGTGCACCCAAAGTGGACTTAGATTTTTAAATAGCAGACCCCGAGTGAACACAAAAGCGAAAACAGGGTTCACTCAGCACATGCTCAGGTGTTAGGTTGTGTCTGGTTGATACTGTAGCTTAAGGTATCTACCTAATGCTTGGGGCCTATCGTGCAATATGTAATAATTTATTGAGAGAACTTGTTATTGTCTATTACCAGATAACTTGATATTACATGTATATTCCAGTTCCCAAAATGAAAAATTGCCTGTCATACAGATTGAAAAATTACTTTATTTAGCAATGCCTTATTACTTTATTTAGCAATGCCTTATCTCTGTAACGAAGGAAATTGTAGTTCAAAATGCTTTAGAAGGATTTCATTGATAATTTTAACTCATCTGAGCCCAAGGCTTAAGTGAGTTTTTCTGATCAAAATTTGTTCATTGTCTGTTGTCGTCATTGTTTGTAAACTTTTCACATTTTTTATCTTCTTCTCCAGAATCACAGTTTTCACAAAGCACCATTGTGTGAAGGGGATTCAAAATTGTTCAAATGAAGGACCAAGAAGTATTGAAACTTACGTAAAAGCTTCATTACATAGAGTAGATTCTATTTTGTTCCAATCATGACCCCCCCCCCCCCCCCCCTCCCAGGGCCAGGGCAGGTCTGCAATAGGCATTTAAAGTTTTTCAGAGGAATACATAGGAAAAAAAAATTAAAATTAATATCTTTTTCTCAAGAACAGCAAAACAATAATTAGTCATATTTATATGGAAGCATTCTTAGGTAGATTCAAGTTTGTTCAAACCAATACCCCAGGGGTTACATCTGTAGGTGAGGGTGGCGTAAGGGTGGGGTTACAATTGGCAATCTTGTGAAGAACAGCAAGTCATGATTATTCATTTTTATATGCCTTGGAAGCATTCCCAGGTAGTGATATTTCAAGCTTGTTCAAATCATGACCCTCAGGGGTAGGGTCTGGCCACAATAGGAAAAAAGGTTTTACATAGGATATATATATATGAGAAAAAGAACAGTAAAAAATCTCTTAAAGACTTGATTAGTCATATTTATATGGAAGTATCCTTAGTGTAATCTTAAGTTTGTTCAAATCCTGCCCATTCCCCTTATGCTGGGAGTTGGAGGGATAGGGTTGGACCACTTATAATTTCAATCTTTTCAGTACTTAACTTATTTCAGCTTTTCTTTAGCGCCCCCCCCCCCCCCCCCCAAAAAAAAAATACCGCTACTCTTTTTATGCCCCTGGATCGAAAGATCCTGGGGGTATATTGTTTTTGTCCTGTTTGTCTGTCTGTCTGTTGTCAACTTTAACCTTGCCCGTAACTTTTGATTGGTTGGAGCTATGACTTTCATATTTCACATGTGTATTCCTTGAGCAAGACCTTTCTTTGGGTACCATCATATTTGACCATTTAATCTTGACCTTGGAGTTTGACCCACTTTTGCAAAATTTTATGAGATTTTAACCTTGGCCATAACTTCTGAACAGTTGGTGCTTGGGGTTTCAAACTTCACATGTGTATTCTTTGTGACAAGGCCTTCCTTTGGATACCAACAACTTTGACCTTTTGACCTTGACCTTGGAGTTTGACCTACTTTTGAAAAACTTTAACCTTGGCCATAACTTTTGAACAGTTGGTGCTTGGGGTTTCAAACTTCACATGCATATTCCTTGTGACAAGACCTTCCTCTGGATATCAACCTCTTTGACCTTGACCTAGGAGTTTGACCTACTTTTGAAAACCATTAACCTTGGCCATAACTTTCGAATGGTTGGGGCTAGGGCTTTCATACTTCACATATATAATCCTTGTGACATGACCTTCATTTGGATACCAACCACTTTGACCTTTTGACCTTGACCTAGGAGTTTGACTTACTTTTGAAAAACTTTAACCTTGGCCATAACTTTTGAATGGTTGGGGCTAGGGCTTTCATGCTTTACATATATAATCTTTGTGACATGACCTTCGTTTGGATACCAACCACTTTGACCTTTTGACCTTGACCTAGGAGTTTGACCTACTTTTGAAAAACTTTAACCTTGGCCATAACTTTTGAGTGGTTGATGTTAGGGCTTTCATACTTCACATATGTAATCCTTGTGACATCACCTTCCTTTGGATACCAACCACTTTGACCCATTGACCTTGATAAAGGAGTTTGACCTACTTTCAAAAAACTTTAACCTTGGCCATAACTTTTGAATGGTTGGTGCTAGGGCTTTCATACTTCACATATGTAATTCTTGTGACAAGACCTTCCTTTGGATACCAACAACTTTGACCTTGACCTTGATGTTTTACTTACTTTTAAAAAACTTTAACCTTCACCATAACTTCTGAGCAGTTGCAGCTAGGGCTTTCAAATTTCACAGGTATATTCCTCGAGACAAGACTTTTCTTTGGGTACCAACATTTTTTATCTTCTGGCCTGGATTTTGACTTGCATTTGAGAAACTTTAACCTTCGCCATAAGCCGCCATACGGGGGCATCAGTGTTTCACAAACACATCTTGTTATACATGTTTTTACCTTAAACTAGTTTTTTATCGTTATTATTTTTTTTTCTTGCAGAGGTAGATGAGGCCCACAATACACAAAAGCCCATTTCCTTGAACATGTTGAAAGGGAAATCCAAAATTAATTCTGATTCTCTTGATTCAGCTTCAGGTAAGAATTAAAAAATGTATGGTTTAAGAGGTACATGTAATTACCCTGAAATTTCAAGTATAAGTGGTGAATAGCTCAGTTTTAAATGTACCATTCAAAATATTTTTATCAAACTTAAATATGCTAATAGGTATTTGTGAGAAGTATTCAACTGCATCAAAAACATTTGACCTTGAACTTCCCTGTGACCTTGACCTCACTTTTTTTTTAGATTTGCATTTTGCTTAATTTTAAAGAAACCATTTAAGATATATTTATGTAAGTTTATGCACTTAAACTTAATTTGGCGAGAATTTATCATCTATATCCAACTTTTTAGATTTCAATTTTAAAGAAACTATTCAAGATATTCTCATCAAATTTCATACACTAATACAAATTTTCATTTTGCATTACTAATATACCCTCGGCGGGGCATTCATGTCCAATGGACATATTTCTATTTTTTTTACTTTCTGACACTGACCTACTTTTTGAAAAGACTAGATCCTTGACCATATCTTTTAGGCTAGGACTTTCATATTTAATATGTTTATGAGTGGTTTGTGCAAGGGCTTTCACAGTTCATTAGTGTATTCCATACAACAAGACCTTTTTGGGGGTACCAACATTTTTTACCTTTTGACCTTGACTTTTAATTTGACTTACTTTTGAGAAACTTTTACCTTGAAATTTAGCTGTCATATGGGGCATATTTTTGTTTTTTAAATATCTCTAGTTTTACTTATTTAAGCATGGATTTTCTTTTACTTCAGTAGATTGGAGTAGAAATCAGGAGCTACAATCTTATTAGAAACTTCTAGTTTAAAGTAGACATGACATGACAAATGGATTTGAATTCAAATAAATTGTAAACTCTGTGGGGCATTGAATTGTTAAAATAATTATAATCATAGAAAAAGAGGTCTTTATAACTTGCAACAGTTACTTGGGATAAATTCAGATTTTAGCACCATGTTGATGAAATGTGTCATACATAACCTAAAACACAAGATGACTTGAAGATGTGTCACATACGTTTTACTTTTAACCACATTTTTTTTCAAACTTTCAGATCCAGTCATTCCAATAAATGAAGAGGATGTAAACACTACCAAGAACCAAGAAAATGGTATGCGATTGTTTATTTCCTCCGTCTGTTATCTTTACTATCTTTAGCTCATTTTCTTCATTAGTGAAAAAATAAAAATAAAATACATCTCAACCAAACCTGAATAAAAGCATGAAAGAAATCTTTATTTTTCTTCTTGTCTCAGTTGTACCCCTCCTCTCAGGGGAGAGAATTAGGAAATGTTGAATAAATGAATTGATATTTGAAATATTCTGATAATGGACATGATGGATAATCACTACAGATAGGAATATTACCTAACATGTAAAATCTTGATCACATTTAGAACTTTTTTAATCATTAAATTTTGAAAAACAATGTGCATTTTGAACTGTAATGCTAATAACATTGATCATGTTGATGAATATGAAATTCAAAATAAGTTTGCTTTGAAATCTGAAATGTTTTCAAAGGTAAAGAGTAATAATAAAAGTAAGGCTTTTATTAAGCTGGTTAAAGATTCTGTACAAAATTTGAACCCAATGGAAATTAATGGAACCCCTTTTCAACCAATTTGAAATATAAATTTTGAAAATTGAAACTTTAGAAATTGGAATTTTTCATTTTTAGGACGTTGTGAATTTAAACAAGGAGTGGGTGAAACTGTGGAGCTTGAAAGGGATAGAAATCCTGAGAAAAAAGGAGAGGGCCAACAGAGGAGTGATTTAAGTAAGAAGAGTCTGCATGTGTGTGCCAAATCTTAACTAAAGAATTTTGATTCTATGTGTATACTGACTTGTATGTTTCATGCATAGGATATCACAAAGGTTTTATCTAAAAATGTATGTAAAAGAAGAAATATCCAAATAATATATTAAGTAACTCGTTCTACATTGCTTTTTCTTATACATTTCCAGGTTCTTCACCTAATGGAACATCAGATGGGAAACATGAGGAGTTTAAGCCCCCTATACCTGTGCCTCCTGAGAAACATGATGAAAAGGCAGAATTTTCAAAATCAGAAGCTGTTTTGGACAGAAGCTCCTTAGGTACCAGGACTATTCTTAAAATGGTTAATTTAGGATTGATTTAAGTAAGAAGGGTCTGTTTGTACCAAATCTTGACTTAAAAATTTTGATTCTCTGTGTATGTTGACTTGTTTGTTTCATGCGTAGGATATCACAAAGGTTTTATCTGAAAATATATCCTATTGTAAGGTGGAAAGGCCGTACTCTTGTAATAGACGCACCCCCAAAGTTTGGGGTGAAATCCTGAGAAAAACACAGGTCCTATGGATAAACCACAGCCCCAAAAATGCAAATATTTGGATGTGAATATTTTAACAACACAAGTAGTTCAAGGAAAAAGTTTGAAAAGTTAGAATATTTGTATAATTTCAAAAACGGAAGAAGGATACAACCTCTAATTTCTTTGCAAAATCAGTTTACATAATAGCTTTATTTACATGTATTGATGTTTATTTTGCATTTTAATTGTTATTTGATTGGTATATCTTAAAAGCTTAGTTCCTAATTTTTTTTTTTCACCCCCAAGCATGTTAAGATATTGTGCTGATGATGCATTCCAAGCACATGTCTGTGTTTACGTAAACAAATCATCCCAAGCATTATTAGTGTCACACTTACATGTATGTAATAATTGATACAAGGTAATTATCGAGGGGTGTAAAACATTTATTGTTAAATAAACTTTACTGATTACAACTTGATTGTTAAAAATGGCAGTTGTTTCACAACCAACTGGCCGGAAATTGTTATACAAACAATAATGACTTTGATTTATAGGGTTGATTGGAGTTAAATTTGGGGATGATGATATCCAAGTTAGAAAAAGATAAACAGGGTTTTTTTAATATACATATTTATATTAATTTTGAATAATATCAACAAAATGGATATATCTATTTATATTTCTCTTTGTTGATTTATTTTCTCATGAAGTATGTCATACATGACAATCAATCAAGAATAGGGGAATATACATGTAATAAACTTACAATGTGATTACAGTGAAAATCACTCCCAAGAGCAGAAAAATAGGTGGTGAATTTAGTTCCTATATAATACATGCACCCCAACTTTTGAACAATTTTCTAACGAAAAAAAGTGCTACCAATACATGTGACCTTATGGTATGTAAAAGAAGAAATATCCAAATAATATATTAAGTAACTTGTTCTACATGTTTGCTTTTTCTTAAACATTTCCAGGTTCTTCCCCTAATGGAACTTCAGAAGGGAAACATGAAGAGTTTAAACCCCCTTTTCCTGTGCCTCCTAAGAAACATGATGAAAAGTTAGAATTTCCAAAATCAGAAGCTGTTTTGAACAGGAGCTCCTTAGGTACCTGTAGCCCTTTTCACAAAATATCTTAACTTAAGAATCTCTTACGACAATTCTTAAGTGCTTTTTACTTCATCTCCAGCAACGACTTCAATATGCTTTACAATCTTTAAATAAGTGCGTGAAAATAAAAATAAAACTTAGTTTTCAAAATCTGTCAGCATAACAAACATAATTGACAACAAATATCGCATGCAATCGTTTGTGAAGCAAGGAAGTTTAAAATCTGACGTCAAAATCGCAAATCTGATGTATAAGTAGGTCATACGAAAATCTTAAGTGAAACTTACATCGTAACTATTTTGTAGTGTATTTAATTTAATTTTTCGACAATAATTGTGAAAAAACATATAAAATATTGTAAGTTGCGTTAAAAAAAACTCCAATTTAACGTGTATTTTGGTTTTTACAGCTATATTTTTACAATAAAATCAGTTTTAAAATACTTAAGACAGGGTAAGGGCTCTCATAAAGTTACGACAGATTTTGTACTTACGACTTAAGAATTTTTGTGAAAACGATTTTTATCATAAGTTTTCACTTATGATAAAAATATGTCGTAAGAATTTTTGTGAAAAGATCCACAGGACTATTTTTATAATGTTTAATTTAGAATTGATTTAAGTAAGAAGGGTCTGTTTGTACCAAATCTTGACTTAAAAATTTTGATTCTATGTGTATGTTGACGTGTTTGTTTCATGCGTAGGATATCACATAGGTTTTATCTATTAAATGTGTATGTAAATGAAGAAATATCCAAATAATATATTAAGTAACTCATTCTACATTGCATTTTCTTATACATTTCCAGGTTCTTCACCTAATAGAACTTTAGAAGGGAAACATGAGGAGTTTAAGCCACCTTTACCTGTGCCTCCTGAGAAATATGATGAAAAGACATATATACAGTATTTACCTCTAGCTTCAGGTTAGTGCAGTAACAACACATTTAGATCTGAAATTAGTTAATGTTATTATACCTCTACTGAATTTTCCCCTATATAACATAAGATCATTAGATGTGACTAATTCTCTAGAAATCGTTATGAATGGAATAATCCCCGTGCGTTAATCAAGTGAGCTAATCCCTGCTTTGAAAGCTAATTCCCGGTTATCTAATTCTCTAGAAATCGTTATGAATGGAATAATCCCCGTGTGTTAATCAAGTGAGCTAATCCCTGCTTTGAAAGCTAATTCCCGGTTATCCAAAATCCTCTAGATTTACTTTTTCATTGGTATGATATGTGAATGGACTAATCCCTGTGTGTTAGTTCATTGAGCTAATCCCTGCTTTGAAATCACGCTATTTGAATCTTCTAAATTTTAAGTTTGTATCGGTATAATAAAACAGTATACAGTTAAAGTATATCATTGAGGGAGTTAGCAAGATTCCAGTTCCCCAAGACCAGGACTATTTCCCGAGGCGAAGCCGAGGGGATTAGTCCATTCATAACAATTTCCAGGGAATTAGTCACATCTAATGATCTAATGTTATATAGGGAAAAAATCAGTAGAGGTATAATAATTAAAATTATATCATTGTGCGAGTCAGCAAGATTCCAGTCCCCCTTTACCAGGACTATTTATCTTGGCTTTGCCTCTGGAAATAGTCCTGGCCTTGGGGAACTGGAATCTTGCTTACTCCATCAATGATGTACTTAAACTGTATAATACTACAAACGTGTGATTTCACACAATTTTTTCGTGAAAAAGGTTCAAAGTCTAGAATAGGACAATCTTGAAGAATTTTTCTGGTATGCTCAACAAAAAAATTCTGAGGGGCAATTAATTTTCAGCTCACCCTGATTAAGTTGAGGTAAGCTTATACTACATCCCTGGTATCATTGTCCAGGTTAGAGATTTATACACAAGTCCATTTCCAAGAATCTAAAAGCCCTGTCTAGACCAAAACTGCATGTAGGGATACACATTACCAGACTTGTTTGGGTTGCTGGATCTTATCTAATAGTATATTTTTTTGGGTGTGTAACCAGATTTTAGGTGCAGGTCCGTTAATATCCCAAGTAACTAGAAGTCATTTATTCACCAAACTTGCATGGATGATGCAAATAGGAACTCCCATGCATTATTGTAGAAATGCATTGGACTTTTGATGCTGGATCTGATCTACATTTTTAGCTCACCTCGACGAAGCCAAGATGAGCTTATGCTATACCCCCGGCATTGGCGTCGGCGTCGGCGTTAGCGTCGGCGTCCCAGTTAAAGTTTTAGGAGCAAGTCCCATTCCCAAGTTACTATAAGCCCTACCTGGACCAAACTTGCATGGATGATGCATCTAGAATGGACACTGCCACACTTGCTTCAGATGCTGAATCTGACCTAGATTTTCCAGATGAGTGACCAGGTTAAAGTTTTTGGAGCAGGTCCATTCCCAAGGAACTATACGCCCCACCTGAACCAAACTTGTATGGATGATGCATCTAGGGATGGACACTACCACACTTGCTTCGGATGCTGGATCTGACCTAGATTTTCCAGATGAGTGACCAGGTTAAAGTTTTTGGAGCAGATCCATTCCCAAGTTACTATAAGCCCTACCTGGACCAAACTTGCATGGATGATGCATATAGGGATGGACACTACCACACTTGCTTCGGATGCTGGATCTGACCTAGATTTTCCAGATGAGTGACCAGGTTAAAGTTTTTGGAGCAGGTCCATTCCCAAGTAACTATACGCCCTACCTGGACCAAACTTGCATGGATGATGCATCTAGGGATGGACACTACCACACTTGCTTCGGATGCTGAATTTGACCTAGATTTTCCAGATGAGTGACCAGGTTAAAGTTTTTGGAGCAGATCCATTCCCAAGTAACTATAAGCCCTACCTGGACCAAACTTGCATGGATGATGCATCTAGGGATGGACACTACCACACTTGCTTCGGATGCTGAATTTGATCTAGATTTTCCAGATGAGTGACCAGGTTAAAGTTTTTGGAGCAGGTCCATTCCCAAGTAACTATAGGCCCTACCTGAACCAAATTTGCATGGATGATGCATCTAGGGATGGACACTACCACACTTGCTTCGGATGCTGAATCTGACCTAGATTTTCCAGATGAGTGACCAGGTTAAAGTTTTAGGAGCAGATCCATTCCCAAGTAACCATACGCCCTACCTGAACCAAACTTGCATGGATGATGCATATAGGGGTGGACACTACCACACTTGCTTCGGATGCTGGATCTGACCTAGATTTTTCCAGATGAGTGACCAGGTTAAAGTTTTTGGAGCAGGTCCATTCCCAAGTAACTATAAGCCCTACCTGGACCAAACTTGCATGGATGATGCATATAGGGATGGACACTACCACACTTGCTTCAGATGCTGAATCTAACCTAGATTTTCCAGATGAGTGACCAGGTTAAAGTTTTTGGAGCAGGTCCATTCCCAAGTAACTATACGCCCTACCTGAACCAAACTTGCATGGATGATGCATCTAGGGATGGACACTACCACACTTGCTTCGGATGCTGAATTTGACCTAGATTTTCCAGATGAGTGACCAGGTTAAAGTTTTTGGAGCAGATCCATTCCCAAGTAACTATAAGCCCTACCTGAACCAAACTTGCATGGATGATGCATCTAGGGATGGACACTACCACACTTGCTTCGGATGCTGGATCTGACCTAGATTTTCCAGATGAGTGACCAGGTTAAAGTTTTTGGAGCAGGTCCATTCCCAAGTAACTATACGCCCTACCTGGACCAAACTTGCATGGATGATGCATATAGGGATGAACACTACACACTTGCTTCGGATGCTGAATCTGACCTAGATTTTCCAGATGAGTGACCAGGTTAAAGTTTTTTGAGCAGGTCTATTTCCAAGTAATTATAAGTCCTTTTTAAACCAAACTTGTATAGATATTGATCTTGGGATGTACACTAACTAGAAAAAATATGATGTGAGATTTGCCTTACTTATAGATAACCTTCGTCGAGGTGAGCTTCGTAATCTTTGATTACCTATGTTTCAATGAGTGACCAGGTTAAAGTTTTTGGGGCAAGTCTATTCTGAAGTAACTGTAAGGTCTAGCCCTACCTGAACAAACCTGCAATGATGATGCATCTAGGATTATATTTTTCCAGACTTGCTTTGGGTGCTTAATTTGACTTACAATTTATGGGTGAATTATAAGGTTTTACTTTTTGGAGCAGGTCCCTTCCCAGGTAATGTCAAGCCCTACCTGAACCAATCTTGCATAGATGATGCATCTAGTAATGCACAATAGCAAATATGCTTCAGATAACTGGATCTGACCTATATCTTATTATTGAATGAACATACCTCTTCATAACTAAACATCTGTGACTGTCCTCCATGCCACAGGAGCAAGATTTTCCAAAAATTAATGGTCAACTTCTATACATTTTTATAAAGCATTAAGCAGTCTAAAAGTAATACTGCATTTGGAATTTAGATATAATGTATAATATAAAGGTATTTCCAATGTATATATTATTTATAAACTACTTACATTCATAATTATGTAAAGCATGTATTGGTTTAATTTGCAGATGTTAACAGGTCCACATTAAACAAGAAACGCAGCAAGGTAGACACATGGAGATGGCTTTTCAGATATATTTTGGCATTGTTGTTCATACTGTGTTTCAGCCTGGGATTTATCTTCTGCGTTTATCTTTTTGTCAGTGAAGTACAGGTTGGTATGAGTTACAAACTAAATAAGATATTTCATTCTACACTGAATCTGTCAATACTTTAAATTTTTTCTTCAAAATCAAGAACAGTTATTGCCAATGGGAAATACCTCATAGTTGGCAAAATTGCATATGAATTAAAGATGGTAATTACTTGGATCTTCTTGAATCTAGAATCTGAAAAGGAACGAACAACCTTAATGCTCTAAGAATGGAAGCTCTACAAGCTGAGTTCTCCATCCACAGGTGCTCAAAGCCACCCAAATAAATTATACAAAATGAATGGAATATACTGTTTGATATTTGGGTGTTTTACTGACCATAGACAATAAGGGCCACCTAAATTGCATGACAAACTCGATGACTTAAGCTTTTCAATAATAAACTTTCCTGATGTACATGTATGTATTACTACCCAGCTATTACCTGCATGTGGTGTTTACGTCTCCTGACCTTATTGACACTCATGCTCCCAGTACGATCAATCTTTAAGCTGAGGTAGGCTACTGACAGATAAGTTGATTTTGCAGGGATTTCAACAATTTCGTTCAAAGTCCACATTTTGTAAGTTTATAGTTGTTATAATGACCTTGTTAGCAAAAATAACCCATTATTGGGTCATATTTTGGCTGACTTGTTTCATTACTAGTCCTTTGTTTTTGTACTGAATTTGAATGCAGAATGTTCTTTTTACCTGATCAATACAAAAGGGTTTATGGCAGTTGTGATTAGCCAACAGGAGATGCTTATTCTTCCAAGGCACATGATCCCATCTCTGGAAATTCCAGGGGTCCATATTTCATGCCATCTTCATGAATTGTATTGTTTATAGATTTTTTGAGATTGATAACTGTTCATTATCTTCACCTATTTCATTTACAAAACGTCGAGATACATCAATTGTATCATTTGTAACCTACTTAATTGGCACATGAACTAGGTAAGGACCTGAAAAACCTAGCACAGGCAACTGCCACATATATGATCCACTATGTCAAATTCTGACAAGATTAAGTACATCCTCCCCATTCATAACTATCCTAGATATTTCCTTATTCTTTTCTCTTCTTTCTCTGTCTGCTTTTCCCAGTTGTCCTCCCTTTGATTTTCCATTACCATTTTGAAAAAACTCTTTGAACTGTACCCAAAATGCAAATCCACCTGTTCCCCCCTTTCTGAACAATTTCTTTGTGGCACAGAATGGTCTCTACAAATAATTTTAAAAATAAAAATAAAATTATCTGAAATTAAAAATTAAATTTTACTTGTAATTACATGTAAAGTTATTTGTCATCTGCAAACAAATGTATGCCCAATTCTCCAACATAGTTATGATATGATATAAAACTAATGTTATATATGTTATAGGTGTTGTGTGACACTCTATAATGTTATTTACAGGACAATTTCACTTATGGAAGATATGCTTCTTAACAAAATCATAAAAAAAGCAATAACTTTTTTAGCTCACCTGAGCTGAAGCCTCAAGTGAGCTTTTCTGATCAAAATTTGTCCGTTGTCTGTCATTGACATTGGCGTTGTCATAAACTTTTCACATTTTCATCTTCTTCTCCAGAACTACTGGGCCAATTTCAATCAAACTTGGCACAAAGTATCCTTGGGTGAAGCGGATTCAAGTTTGTTCAAATGAAGGGTCACGCCCTCCTCCAAGGGGAGATAATTACGAAGTAACAAAAAATTAATGGCGTTATTGAAAAATCTTCTCCTCAAGAACCAATGGGACAGGAAAGATGAAACTCATGTGGAATTATTGTCAGGCAGTGTAGATTCAAATTTGTTCAAATCATGACCCCTGGGGGTAGGGTGGGGCCACAATGGACGATCAAAGTTTTACATAGGAATATATACTGTAGGAAAAATCTTCAAAAATCTTCTCAAGAACAGCAAAGCTATGATAGGTCATATTTATATGGAAGCATCCTCAGGTGGTGTAAATTCAAGTTTGTTCAAATTATGATCCCCAGGGATAGGGTGGGGCCACAATGGACGATCAAAGTAAAACATAGGTGTATATATAGGAAAAATCTTCAATAATCTTTTTCTCAAGAACAGCAAAGCAATGATTGGTAATATTTTTGTGGAAGCATCCTCAGGTGGTGTGGGTTCAAGTTTGTTCAAATCATTACCCCCGGGGGTAGGGTGGGGCCACAATGGATGATCAAAGTTTTACATAGGAAAATATAGGAAAAATCTTTAAAAATTTTCTTCTCAAGAACAGCAAAGCTATGATTGGTCATATTTATGTGGAAGCATCCTCAGGTGGTGTAGATTCAAGTTTTTTTAAATCATGACCCCAGGGGTAGGGTAGGGCCACAATGGGCGATCAAAGTTTAACAAAGGTGTATATAGGAAAAATCTTAAAAAATGTTCTTCTCAAGAACAGCAAAGCTATGATTGGTCATATTTATGTGGAAGCATCCTCAGGTGGTGTAGATTCAAGTTTGTTCGAATCATGACCCCAGGGGTAGGGTTGGGGCACAATGAACGATCAAAGTTTTACAAAGGAATATATAGGAAAAGTCTTTAAAAATCTTCTAAAAACAGCAAAGCCACTGTTTGTAATATATATATGGAAGCATCCTCAGATAGTGTAGATTCAAGTTTGTTCAAATCATGACCTCCAGGGGTAGGGTGGAGCCACAATGAAAGTTCAAACTTGTAGAGAAAAATGTCACAGTTAGTCAAAAAATTATGTAAGCATTCTTAGTAAGTGTAGATTTAATTTTGTTCAAATCATACCCCACTCCCTTTTAGGGTAGGTTGGGACCACTTATGCATCTAAGCTTTTCAATACTAAACTGATTTTTTCTTTTTTCCTAGCCACAGTGCTCAGGTGAGCGATGTGGCCCCTAGGCCTCTTCAAAATTTTGACAATTGAATTTGGAATGTTCAGTTGGTATATATTAATTCAGATTGCAAAAAATTAAAAAAGATTCAGGCACAATTGTGTAATTTTTGGACAAAAAAAACTACAGACAAGCAGACAGGAGGAAAACCATGCATTGTGATTCCAGGATATCTCAAACTTTGTTGGGAAGAATATAACAAAGTTTGTTATACAGTGTGTAGTTACCTTAAGGAGGAATGCCACACCAAAATTTTATTTAATAGATCTTTAAGACATCCCTTTTAAACTATGGTTTCAGCATTGAAAGGCCCATATTAGCTCTTAATTATTTTATATGAATTTTTTTGCATTTTCTCAGAGAAAATGATAAATGTGTTTAATTTACAAATAAAGTGCTTTACGGTTTAACATTTGGTATTAATAAATGCATAATATGAATATCTAATTAATATGTAAAGAAAGGCTGGATATACATTTTTATTTTTTGAATAATAAATTATTTATGGAAATAAAACACATTATTTGTAAATATTTATTAGAATTATGGTTTGAATCTTCATAAAAGTAGTCACAAGTAGGGAGAACGTTTTTAGCTCACCTGAGCTGAAAGCTCAAGTGAGCTTTTCTGATCACATTTTGTCCGGCGTCCGTCTGTCTGTCCGTCTGTCTGTCTGTAAACTTTTCACATTTTCGACTTCTTCTCAAGAACCACTGGGCCAATTTCAACCAAACTTGCCACAAAGTATCCTTGGGTGAAGGGGATTCAAGTTTGTACAAATGAAGGGCCACGCCCTCTTTCAAGGGGAGATAATTAGGAATTAGTGAAAAAATAATGGCATCATTTAAAAATCTTCTTCTCAAGAACCATAGGGCCAGGAAAGATGAAACTCATGTGGAAGCATCCTCAGGAAGTGTACATTCAAGTACGAATGGCTACGATATCACATGATACATATACACGATATTCCGGCGATTAATGACAATTTCATACAAATATACATGTTATGAAATTCATATAGAATATACTGTTTATAGAAAAATTTGGTTGATCAGAGTAATAGCTACAGTGTGGTGCAAATTGCTGCGTTTAAACAGGAATAACGAAGCTATTATTTTCCTACGACTACCTTAGTGATGAACCCTGATTTGCTGCAATTTTTGAATTTGTAATGAATTGTCGCTCCAGACCCCCCCCCCCCCCCCCCCCCCCCCCAACCCCCCACCTTTCAAAATAAAAGGAAAAAAATCTAGGCAATGTTCACTTTTTAGCTCACCTGAGCTGAAAGCTCAAGTGAGCTTTTCTGATCACATTTTGTCCGGCGTCCGTCTGTCTGTCCGTCTGTCTGTCTGTCTGTCTGTCCGTCTGTCTGTCTGTAAACTTTTCACATTTTTGACTTCTTCTCAAGAACCACTGGGCCAATTTCAACCAAACTTGCCACAAAGTAGCCTTGGGTGAATGGGATTCAAGATTGTTCAAATAAAGGGCCACGTCCTCATTCAAGGGGAGATAATTAGGAATTAGTGAAAAAATAATGGCATCATTTAAAAATCTTCTTCTCAAGAACCATAGGGCCAGGAAAGATGAAACTTATGTGGAAGCATCCTCAGTTAGTGTACATTCAAGTTTGTTCAAATCATGACCCCCGGGGGGTAGGGCGGGGCCACAATGGAGGATCAAAGTTTTACATAGAAATATATAGGAAAAATCTTTAAAAATCTTCTTCTCAAGAACAGCAAAGCCTTGATGAGTCATATTTATATGGAAGCATCCTCAGATAGTGTAGATTCAAGTTTGTTCAGACCATGACCCCTGGGGGTAGGGCGGGGCCACAATGGAGGATCAAAGTTTTACATAGAAATATATAGGAAAAAGAACAGCAAAGCCATGATGAGTCATATTTATATGGAAGCATCCTCAGGTAGTGTAGATTCAAGTTTGTTCAAATCATGACCCCCAGGGGTAGGGCGGGGCCGCAATGGAGGATCAAAGTTTTACATAGAAATGTATAGGAAAATTTTTAAAAATCTTCTTCTCAGGAACAGCAAAGCCCTGATTGATCATATTTATGTGGAAGCATCCTCAGGTAGTGTAGATTCTACTTTGTTCAAATCATGACCCCCGTGGGTAGGATG